GAAGGCTCTCACTCACGGCCTTCCAATCATCCTCCAGTGGAGAGGAGTCCAACGTGGTATGCAGTCCACTACAGCGGAGATTGAGAACGGCTGCGGTGGCTTTTGTGTCTTTGGTGATTATGGCCCGATGTATACCGTTGACGACACCTATCGAGTTGACGATGCGACCATCGAGCTCAACTTCGATCACTCCGTCCTCACGGAAACAACACCATACCCTCGTACAAGTACCGAAACGCCGGCAGTGACGGAGTCTTGGGAGCCTACAGAGGCTACTACTACCGGAGCCCCCGCGGAGGCTACTACTACCGGAGCCCCAACAGAAGCTACTACTGCCGGAGCCCCTATCGAGGCTACTACCACTGAGGCTCCTACCATTGCAACACTCACTGAAGCTCCTATTTTTACTACGACTAACACGCCACGGCCTACCAAGCCCACACGACCTACCAAGCCCACAAGGCCTCACTGCAAGAACGGCAAATGTGACAATTCCAACACGAATCAAACTACTACCAGCAGCACCTTTGCTGCGGTTACTACCATTGAAGCTTCTATTGCCGAGCCTACTACAACTGGAGCACCCACGGAGTATGCTACCACTACGACTGTTACTCCCCTGTTGGTCTTCACAAGAACTGGAGTCCCTGTAGAGGCTACTACTGAAGCCCCTGTAGATGCTACTACTGAAGTCCCTGTAGAGGCTACTTCTGAAGCCCCTGTGGAGGCTACTACTGAAGCCCCTGTAGAGGCTACTACTGAAGCCCCTGTAGATGCTACTACTGAAGTCCCTGTAGAGGCTACTTCTGAAGGTCCTGTAGATGTTACTACTGAAGCCCCTGTAGATGATACTACTGGAAACCTCATAGAAACAACTACTGTGGTCCCCACTGACGCTTCTACTGGAGGCCCCGTTGGCGCTACTACTGAGGTCCCCATTGATGCTGCTACTGAGGGTTCTGTAGAGATTACTACTGAAGCCCCTGTAGAGGCTACTACTGAGGTCCCCATTGATGCTGCTACTGAGGGTTCTGTAGAGATTACTACTGAAGCCCCTGTAGAGGCTCCTACTGATGCCCCTGTAGAGGCTACTACTGAAGCCCCTGTAGAGGCTACTACTGAAGGTTCTGTAGCGGCTACTACTGAAGCCCCTGTAGAGGTTACTACTGAAGCTCCTGTAGAGGCTACTACTGAAGCTCCTGTAGAGGCTACTACTGAAGCCCCTGTAGAGGCTACTACTGAAGCCCCTGTAGAGGCTACTACTGTGGTCCCCATTGACGCTACTAACGAGGGTTCTGTAGAGATTACTACTGAAGCCCTTGTAGAGGCTACTAATGAAGCCCCTGTAGATGTCACTACTGAGGTCCCCATTGACGCTACTACTGAGGTTCCCATTGACGCTACTACTGAGGGTTCTGTAGAGGCTACTACTGAAGCCCCTGTAGAGGTTACTACTGAAGCCCCTGTAGAGGTTACTACTGAAGCCCCTGTAGAGGTTACTACTGAAGCCCCTGTAGAGGTTACTACTGAAGCCCCTGTAGAGGCTACTACTGAAGCCCCTGTAGAGGCTACTACTGTGGTCCCCATTGACGCTACTAACGAGGGTTCTGTAGAGATTACTACTGAAGCCCTTGTAGAGGCTACTAATGAAGCCCCTGTAGATGTCACTACTGTGGTCCCCATTGACGCTACTACTGAGGTTCCCATTGACGCTACTACTGAGGGTTCTGTAGAGGCTACTACTGAAGCCCCTGTAGAGGTTACTACTGAAGCCCCTGTAGAGGTTACTACTGAAGCCCCTGTAGAGGCTACTACTGAAGCCCCTGTAGAGGCTACTACTGTGGTCCCCATTGACGCTACTACTGAGGTCCCCATTGACGCTACTACTGAGGGTTCTGTAGAGGCTACTACTGAAGCCCCTGTAGAGGTTACTACTGAAGCCCCTGTAGAGGTTACTACTGAAGCCCCTGTAGAGGTTACTACTGAAGCACTACGACCTACAAGGCCTACGCAGCCTGAATGCAAGAACGGAAAGTGTGATGATCCTATTACGAAGCCTAACGATACGAAAACAAAGTCTCCAAAAGGTAAGTTTACTACTGAAGGCCCGATAGAGGCTACTACGGAAGCCCCGGTAGAGGCTACTACGGAAGTCCCGGTAGAGGCTACTACGGAAGGCTCTATTGACGCTGCTACTGATGCCCCCGCTCTCCTTTAGAGCAGTGCTGCACAAGACAGAGCTGTATCTTTGAAGGGTGATTATTTTTGTGAAGCTACGATGAATATTCGACATGTTTGTCGACTAGATGCTATTCAATGATCTCCATGAATGGAATGAAGCATCCGTGAGCATCGCCGTGTTGAGTGAATCATTAAATGCTTGTAAGGGAAGGAGAGCAACCCATAGAAAGCCATGGTTGATAGAAATTGCAATTTGCTGCCGGGCTACAATTTATATATACATGAGCACTAACCTTCGTAGCAAGTGGGCAGTTGAAACAGATAGACTCCTCTTCGAACCGTTGAATCTCGATAACTCTGTATTGAGTTGGAAACTTGTCAAGAACAGCATCCTTGCGGTTGTCACAGCCCTGCTTAATCATGAACGCCGTAGATACCCACACGTTCTCCATCCCTCTTTCCACCCCACTTGATGTCCATGCTTCCGAGCTGCTCGTCCACAAAACGAATAGATCGTTTAAGCTCGAGCAGACCTGCTTGTCGATTTACACACGAGGCAACAACATTTAATTGCGGTTTATCCTCATCGTAATTGTCGATTGTATACGAGTAGACTTTGTCGAAGTCGAGTCAGACCGCTGAAAACCACAACTCCCCACGAACCAAAAGGCCATTGATAGGGCGTGTGTGATTCCCACGGTTGATATCATTCCATCTATGAATTCTTCTGAATCGAGGGAGTCATCATCTGCTTCAAATGAGGTCGTAAACATCGAGCCAATTACCAACAACATTTTCGCCATTCCTTATTGTAGTACATTCAATATAAATCTGAATTCAACTCAACTATCAGCGATGTTTTGGACCTTCACCGCTAAAAGTTACATACCACAGCTGAACACCAAGTACATCCTGCCGAAGTTCGCACTACTCTCCTCTGAACGCCCCCGAGCAATCATCGGCAAGGAACAATCGAGGAAGAATCAGTCTAAAACTCCTCGTGAGTTACAGTATTAGGAAGTAGTCCCGGAGATTCTAAGGAGGCATACTTCAGAGCCGAACTGTAGATCAGCCACATCTATCAACACCTGAGCCGCTGACCTCCTTTGGTGGTCAACACTACTGTGAGTAGGTACCATTAGGACGTTATTAACAGTCCAATGATATCTACCTGGTTACAGTACGATGAAGTAGTTATCGTCATTATACTCGACCACAACGTGATTGTCAACAACCGAGAATTGTTAACGCTGATCCTATCGTTGGAGAGTTTACCAAATTCTAGTACAGACAGTACCCCTCCATACTCGAACAATAAACTGATATCACATATCTCATTATCCCTTTCGCTGATCCCTTCAGTGAAGGGATGAAGGATGCAGGAAGTTATATGCAGTAGGAATTCTTCCCGCTTTGACTATAACAAACACAAGGTTCATCAAGGTGGAGAAATCCCATCAGTAACGGGATAGATAGAACAGAAAAGTAAAACCACAATAGGGTAAGCTACCCAAGGAAAACTGATTACTTATACTACAAGGGTGTCTGAATTCCCTGCACGAATTCCGCCTGGAACCGCTCAGCAAATGCACCCGAAACAACGAAACCAGTGTCTACTTCAGATCATAGCGATAGTCTTTGACGGCTCTATCGATGGTGTTGATGA